GAAGCAGCTCTTTAATTTCACTCGCTTTCTTCCCTGGAAGTGGAATTTCATCCGAGTTCTTTTCTTTAAACTCAGACGTGAACATCCGCTCAAACACAGGCGACCAAAAGGCAAGCGTGCCTCGATGAACATGAAATTTTTGTTCTTCAGCTACAAGAACCACATCGCTTAACTTCCACGGCTCTGAGAAGTCGGGTAAATCAGGTGAAGTATTGCTTGGTTTGTCCATGGCACAGTAAGTAGCTCAACAGAAGTGATGGATTACAACTGGGTTGCGCAATCTGCGGAACTCGCAAAATGGCGGATTCAATTCTTCCCTGTGGCGTGACTTGAAAGAAAGTCACGCAAGCCGTATAGGTATCCCACACTACTTCTCGCTTCCGCTTGTCATGTAATGTAATTAATGTTTACCAATAATCATTTTAAAAGTGAAAGTCATTGCAATTAAATTTCATACATCTATGTAGCCGAACGAAGTTTCTACGGGACGTAGAGCGATATCTAACACGTGACGTCACGCTGCGTTGCTGTGGCAGCGTCGATGCCAATTAAACACAAAAGCTAGCCGCCTTGGATAGGGAAGTATTACTAGTTCAATTCCGAGATGGTGAATGGAAAAATTTCGAAAAATTCGAGGGTGCCAGCAGAAGTTGAAACAAACACCGGAGATTGAGGATTCGCTATTTTTATTTTATTTATTTATTTATTTATTTATTTATTTATTCAATTTCAAATTGACTTCACGCTAGTCAGATTTACACACGGATAAGGGCCAAAATCTTATGATGCACTGTATCGTCAACTTTGTTTGCCATTTCTTTTGGACGTATGCTGATGCTATCGCAAAGACATAAAGCGGAAAAATTGCACAACATGGGACGACGGAAAAAAATTGAATTTACTTTTCTGGGAACAGAATTGAGATCGGGGAAAGTAACCGGAAGTAAATATACGAGTTTCTTGGAAAGCGAATCGATGCTATTCCTAGCTTCCAGGAAAAGCTTTGGGGAGGTCATGTGACATGACTACATTCATACTTTAAACCGGCAACTCGTGCTGGCATATGATTTTTATTTATTTCGTTGCAATTTTACACGTTCCCCAAGATTTTGTTGAATAAATAATCAGTTGAAGCTTCTTGATCTCACTTGCCTTTTCTTTCAAACAAGTTCCTTTCTTTAAACTCTAACATCGAAAGAGTCGATCGATGGACGTGAAACTTTTAATCTTCTGCCACAAGAACGACATCGCTAAACTTAATCTGGTGGACCAGTTGAACTTCAACTAAAGGAGGCCACTGTACAGCAATTATTTCCAAGTGAAACAGAGCGAATCCCGTGATAGAGAAAATTTATGACAAGGGTAATGCTATAGTAACTTTGTTACTATGCCGGTTAANCTGCGTTGCTGTGGCAACGTCGATGCCAATTAAACACAAAAGCTAGCCGCCTTGGATAGGGAAGTATTACTAGTTCAATTCCGGGATGGTGAAGGAAAAAGTTTCGAAAAATCCGATCAGGGTGCCAGCAGAAGTTGAAACAAACACAGGAAATTGAGGATTGGCTCTATTTTTTTATTTTTTTATTTATTTATTTTTTTTTCCAATGTCAAATTGACTTCACGCCAGTCAGATTTACACACGGATCAGCGCTAAAAGTTAATCTTATGATGCAATGTATCGTCAAATTTCATTGGCATTTCCTTTTGACGTACGCTAATGCTCAGACTGCGAAGGCTAAAGCGGAAAAATTGCACAACATGGGACGACCGAGAAAATTTGCATTTAATTTTCTGGGAACAGAATTGAGATCTGGGAAAATAACCGGAAGTAAAAATAGGAGTTTCTTGGAAAGCGAATTGAGGCCATTCCAAGCTTCCAGAAAAAGCTTTGGGTAGTTCATGTGACATGACTACATTCATACTTTAAACTGGCAACTCGCACTGGCATATGATTTTTATTTGTTTCGTTGCAGTTTTCCACGTTTCCCAAGATTTTGTTGGTTAAATAATCAGTTGAAGATCCTTGATCTCGCTGATCTTTTCTTTAAACTCTGATGCAAACGTCGTCTCAAACACAGGCGACCACATCGAAATAGTCGATCGATGGACGTGAAACATCTGATCATCTACTACAGTTAAGAACGACATATAGCTAAAGTTAATCTGGTGCACCAGTTGAACTTCAACGAAAAGAGGGCACTGTACAGCAATTATTTCCAAGTGAAACAGAGCGAATCCCGTGATAGAGAAAATTTATGACAAGGGTAATGCTATAGTAATTTTGTTACTATGCCGGTTAAAGGCGATGCTAATCAAAACTTGTAATAAAATTTTGCCAGTCACATTCGTCACATTACGGATTCTTACGTCCACGCGATGTATGAGACGGTTTTTTTTCTTTATGCGGCGACGAGGATTTCACTGATTGGCATATTCTGCCTTTGTCGTTGAAAATTGGCCCAGTTTTCCTTTCCTCTCCTCAACTTTTCTTTCTTTCTTCTTTTAAAACAACTGCCATAGCACAACAAGCACAACAAATATGCTAGTAGATCTTTCTTTCAATTTCATAAAAACGTTAACAACAATTATCTCATATTTCCCTTCAAAATAGGAAGAAAGTGAAAGGCAAGCACACCACTACAGACAAACCACATTATTTCATTACTTCAAACCAGTAACTCAAGCTGTGTTCTTCATTCTACAAGTGCTCACTAGCATACAAGAGGAAACGGTCAAAGTGTAAAAACGTGATCTGCAACAGCYTGTATTTAAACGTATTTTACGTAATTCTACTTAAATTAAATGTCGTGAAACTGATCTGGGGAAAAAACACTAAAAGGCAAAAAAAAAAAAAATTGCTAAAAAAAACTGTCAAATATCTAATGTAGGTCTCTTCAAATGATCCTTAAAAAAAGTGCTTTAAATAATTAATTAATTCTTCCTCCATTCTCAGAAACAGGGAAAAGATGCGTGAATTAAAAAGCTTGACAGTCCTTGTTTGATCAGAAAAAAAAAAAAAATTAAAAGTATGAAAAATTGTGCTAAAATTTTCCCAGAACATCTGATCGTTCACCTAAAATGGAATCCCGTGCTAAGATGTTTAAGCCACTACAGCTCGCTAGGTCTAAAGAGTAAGAGGAAGTGTAATCGGAGAAATAACCGGAAGTAAACATGCGTTTTTCTTGGAAAACCGAATAATTTTACTGTCACTAGCTAGTATTAACAAAACGAGCTACAAGACTACCCTGTTCAAAATGCATACACTTCAGTGCTTGTGTCACCTCAAATAGTTAACGTTGGAACGCTCATCTGTAAAAGGACTGCTGATAGCCGCTGCCCGGATTCCTCTCAAGCCTTTCTATCATTCCCTCCACAATCTGCTTGTAAATGCGTGGATCCATTATATCATACATCTCGTGACTTTTGAAATCACACAGTCGCAGCTGACGAGCTCTATTGACGATTGTTCCAAGTAGTTTCTCTAACTTGTAGGTTTGCGCAAACGTGAGATCGGCAAGAAAGGTATTTCCCGGCTTTTTAGAAACCAAATTAACCAGAACATCTTCGCACCTCTTACGAATGTCTTCCATCTGATACTCATCTGCGAGCTTTAACAAGAAGTAGCAATTTTCATTCGTCACAGTTTTCCAAGCTTTCCCAGATTTTGTTGGATAGATTATCAGCAGAAGCTCCTTGATCTCACTTGCCTTTTTGCCTGGAAGAGGAATTTCACAAGAGTTCTTTTCTTTAAACTCTGAAGTGAACATTTTCTCAAATACAGGCGACCACATTGCGAGGGTATATCGATGGACATGAAACTTTTGACGTTCTACAACAAGAACGACATCACTGCACTTCCACGGCACCGAGAAATCTGGCGGACCTGGGGGACCAGCTGTACTGTTTCTTGAGGCAGACATTGTACTGTATTCGTTTAATAGCATGCTGGTGGTGCTAATTGGGCAGATAATGGCGACTCCTAGATTGCGTCTGTCAAATGACTTGATGGGTAAATTTAGATATTTTGTCATCTGTCGAGCGTGGTCGCAAAGCTACAGCCTGCAAGGGTTTAATATCTGACACTGTTGAGCGCAGTCACATGAATTGCATAGCTACGACGATCGCATTTGCACCTACAAAATGCGGAAAATGTGCCACATAATGTTGGCCAGTGTTGGCTTGGAAAATACGCAAAAATCTAGCTACGGAAGTGGCCAAGTAAATTATTTATGAAACAGGTAAAATAAAAACTGAAACTACAGAAGTGATGTTATTGATGAAATTGCCATTAACATGTCAAAACGCCATTTTTTCCATCTTTATCGCTTTTTTGCTTTGAATGTTGTGGGAGTCAAAACATAGTGTTCATTCACTTCAAATAAAAAGTTAAAAATCCAAAGGAAAACTCCATACGATATGTGTTTTATTCGTTTCTCAGCACGGAGGGAACAACGATGCTACGGTTGTTGTACTCTCTAAGCTTCACTAGCGTATCTTTACACTGGGCTTTACATAATGTTATCAAAAGAGGTTTTATTATTTTTTTTTTTATTAAGATATATGAAATCAAGTTTGCATCAAGTTGAATGGAACTAATTTCTGCTTCTTATACGGTGTAATGGACCTTACAAGAAAAGTAATTTTTTACAGCCTTTAACTCTAGCATTTTAATTAACCTTAGTAATTTTTAGTTGGGTTTCGTGAATTAGTTTAAATTTTCTATTTTCAGTGTCCCCAGTTAGTCATTCTTGTACCGCTATTTCAGCTTGACACTCAAATTAAGGCTTGTTGATATATTTTACTACCAGATCATGAATAGTCTGATACTGAGTTCCAATTTCCTTGAAGCAGATGATGTTTTTTGTTTCGTCCTGTTTGTTTGTTTTGTTCTGTTTTCGAGGAAGATTTTCCCTTTCAAATTGGTTGGGTTTTCAGCTTTTTTGGGAATTGCCTCCTATTTGTCCTTTTTCGGAGGTTTCTGAGACTCTGCCCCTAAAGGAAGCGGTGTCCATCCAACGCCCTACCATTTAGATAAAAACGGAAGTCAACACAGAGAATTACCGGATGTAAAGTTACAATTTTCTGGGAAAGCGAGCCGTCAGAGACTATGCTTCCAGGAATGTAGAGAATAAGTTCAAGAAATAACTAAACAGTCTTTTAGTTGACATTGCAAAATTTGACTATTTTAGCCTGATTAACTCATTCAATTATGGGCATTTCATATCACCGAATGCACAAACCGTACAGGGTTGTTCTATCGTTACGCAAAAATCGAGTTTGCTTTCCTCAGTTAAAACAGATTAATACCATAAACATTGTTTAACGAGTTGCACCAGACAGTATCCATCAAGAATGAATTACCAGAATGCTCCGTGAGTCATTTTTCATTAGTTGCAATTTTTCCCTTTAAAGCGTCTGAAGTTTTATAGCAATAATAGGGCTGGTGGCATCTCAAAGCACTCCGAAGTACTTCTAACCTTTCCTCGAGAATTTGTTTAATTATATTATATTAAATAGTGAAGTTAAAACTCGATTTCAATTTCTGTTTATATCAGTCCATGCGTCTCGCAGTCTTGATATTTACAGTCAAAGCTGTCTCGCAGTCTCGATTTTTTGCCAGGTTACTGACGAAAAACTCGAAGTACGGCGATGTATGAAGTCTGAACGTCTCGAGCTCGCCTTCAGAACATGTACTCTTGCAAGTCTCGGTCAATTGAAGACAACTAGGAAGAAGTCAAAATGTCTGAGGATGTCTCGGACTCACAACTTGAAGATAAACGCTTCACTCGCCTTCTCGCAAAGTCTCGCATTTACTGTACACATTCACCATCCTTGCCAGGCCCGTTGGTTCTTTTTAAATCTAGCATTTTCTTCTTCAAGGCGCTCTATTATTCCATCAGTAATCTGTTGATAATTCTCCAGGTCAATCTCGTGACGCTTGTTATGACCCTTCAATTCCTTCAGACTTAATTTACGAGCTTCAGATACACATGCCTTTAGCAGTGTTTCTAGATTGTACTTCTGCCCAACGAGCAATACGGTCAGCACATCCTTCTCCCTCTTTTCCTTGACCAAGGATACCAGGAAATCCTCGCACATATGAGTAATGGAGTCTATTTGATACTCGTGAGCAATATCCAACAGGAAGTTACAATTTTCCCTGGTCAAGACACTCCTATTCCATGAAGTATCGTACATGATTTGCAGCACCAGTTTAATTTCGTTTGCTTTCTTTCCTGGAAGCGGAATTTCAACACTGTTCTTCTCCTTGAAGTTGGAAGTGAACATGGTGTCAAATACGGGCGACCAAATTGCCGGCGTGCTTCGATGGACATGAAGTTTTGTCCTTCGACGACAAGGACAACATCGCTGAACTTCCATGGCTCAGAGAAATTTGGTGAACCAACTAAGCCTTTATCTGCAGTAGCCATTAAAGAGTGGTTAAGGAAAACGAGCGAATCCGATGGAGCTTAATTGCTGAGGTACACGATAACAAGATGGCTGCTCCCTGAGGGAGAGCAACCGCTCTCTTACCAATCTCGTTCCCAGAGTCTTCGTTCCCCTTGACCAGCGGTCGAAAAACGAGAGCTCTGGGAGCAACCANTTTCCGTGGTCAAGATACTCCTATTCCATGAAGTATCGTACATGATTTGCAGCACCAGTTTAATTTCGTTTGCTTTCTTTCCTGGAAGCGGAATTTCAACACTGTTCTTCTCCTTGAAGTCGGAAGTGAACATGGTGTCAAATACAGGCGACCAAATTGCCAGCGTGCTTCGATGGACATGAAGTTTTTGTCCTTCGACGACAAGGACAACATCGCTGAATTTCCACGACTCAGAGAAATGTGGTGGACCAGCTGAACCGTTATCCTTAGTAGCCATTAAAGAGTGGTTAAGGAAAAGGAGCGAATCCGATGGAGCTTAATTGCTGAAGTACACGATAACAAGATGGCTGCTCCCTGAAAGAGAATAACCGCTTTTTTACGTGACTTGATAACCACCGCGCATGACAACGAGCACTGTAATGCGTCACGCGAACAGGGGTTGGCATGCGTACCGTAGAATCCCGAAAGTAACGGACCCTGTTACTTTCAGATTTAGCAGGCAAAAGGGGCCGCTACTTTCGGGTAGCAGTTACTTATGAGTAGCCGTTACTTTCGGATGCTTAAAAAACGTTTGTACGGTAACAGTCATTCAGACAGTCCATACAGAGCGGACCCGAAACACATGAAATTAAACGTTCCCTTTATGTGTGTTCCTAACTACCCACATGAGCAAAGCAGACTGTATAAACAAAAGAAGGCCCCAAATGTTGGTACTGCATGTAGGGCGAAACTATTACACCGTGTTATACCGCAATGCAACCGACTACACCACAGTGTATCATTTGACTCTGCTTCTAAAGAAATACAGCTCAGAAAAATTCAGTCAAATTCGAGATAGGATAACAAATATCTCTTCGAGTTGTTCAGTCCTGCAGTCAGACTGTTCCATCCGTATTGCGCTTGAGAAGAGGAGGTTTCTCTTTAGTGACTTCTGCAAAGGGCTGCTACCTCTCGGGTGGGCCGTTACTTTCGCGGAGGTTGGGGGGTTGGGGGGGG